CAGACAGACAGGTACCTTCCCTCCAGGACACACCAGCCACAGTAGGGGTCTCTGAGAGACAGACAGGTCTGACAGTCTGTCTGTCTCTCGCAGGACGCAACAGGAACCCTGGACAGCTGAGAGACAGACAGGAGACAGTCTGAGCGTCTGATTGGACAGAATGAAGAACAGAAACCAATCCTGAAGGCCCATCTCTCACCCTGTTGCTGGTCAGAACATAAAGGTGCTTCTGGCTCTCGTCCAATAGGAGGTCTGCGCTGACAGCGCTGCCGTCGTCTACCGTCAGGCTGCCGTACAGGTGACCCGACCAATCAGAGCGCACCAACACCTGCCACACAAGAGCACAGGTGAGTCATAGTTCAGCGCTGCAGGTTTGTGACTGCGGCTCCTCAGAGCCTGATGAGTTCTGATCAGCAACATGCAGGTTTAACTGCAGTAACAAAGAGCTGCCAGCAGGCGGAGCTGCTGCACCTGCAACCGTCTGCAGCAGCAGCAGAGAAACCAGTGGAACATCTGAGGTACTGAGAACAGGTGTTTGCTACTCAGGTAGAACTCTGCAGGTTGCTGTCGAAGATATCTGGGACTTGGTGCTTTCAGATCTCTGGGTTCTTTACCTTTACCCTAACTGCTCTGTGATTGGCCGGCTGTGCACAGGTGAGAAAGGAGGGGGGATTTCTCTCAGTTCTTGGTTTTTAATCTTCAGTCAGATATTCCAGATGAACATGTAGACAAGTTCTCTACAGATCTAAATGAGGGGGGTTTTTAATGTGGGAACAGGAATCTTTTACCAGCATTCTACCGAAGGAACCAGGTTCTATATTTAGAAAAATTTTACCCTTAAACTGTTACTGCTCAGGGTTTGCATGTTCTAAAGGTTCTTTAGTGTTCTAGCAGCAGCTGAACAGGTTCTTGTTCTTCTACATTAAGATGTGGAAAGATGAAGATGAAGGAACATTCATTTGTCTAACGGTTCCTTTCAGTCTTTGTCTCCACTGTAGAACCAACAGCAACAGTTCAGAGACCAGAACAAACAATTCCTGGACGTAACTCCAGCTGTATGAAGGGAACAGAACCATGGAGATTTGTTCTGTTAGAACATCTGGAGAACTTTACGTTGCTGATGTCAGAGAGCAGAAGAAGAGAGATCAGAGGACAGAAAACCCGTCATCCTCTCTGACTATAACCAATCAGTGTTTTGGACATTGTTGAAGTGATTTTGGACAGCCTTCGCCCCGGGAACGTTCCTTTACACGCCTTCAGTTCCTGTAACTTTTGGTTCCACAGCTTCAGAACCGCTGCAGACTCCACATGAAGCAGAAACAGCTGCTTCATTGTTTCAGACACACAAACAGGCAGCAGTTAACGTGTTTTTGTCGTCTGTTCAATGCTAACAACATGCTGTGAAGCTTGTGTGTGCATCTTGTTGCTGATTGGTTATCGGTCCCCCAGGTGCACTCTGGGTAAAGATCCAGCTGGAGCCCCTGAAACATTAACAGAGTGTGTGATTAAATATTAACAGCAGAATCAAAGCGCTGCTGTTTGTGAGTCTGAAGCTCCGAGGCAGGATTAGACCTCATTAACGCTCCGCTGCGGTCCTCACAGAGATACCAACACACGCTGAACATCCCTACCCACAATGCACCTGGGAGGCAACAACCAATCAGCAGCAGTCTGAGCATGCTCCCATGTGACTCACCCCAAACCCACACACACCCCCGAGCTAAACGCCTGTTAGTCGCTCACACACAAAGTCTATCATTGTGTTGTCGTCGAGGGAACAAGCTGCTCATTGTGTGTTCATGTGTTCACTGGGTGTTCATGTGTTCATGTGTTCACGTGTTCATGTGTTCACAATGTGTTCATGTGTTCACGTGTTCACTATGTCGTCATGTGTTCATGTGTTCACTATGTGTTCACGTGTTCACTGGGTGTTTATGTGTTCATGTGTTCATGTGTTCACTATGTCGTCATGTGTTCACTATGTGTTCACGTGTTCATGTGTTCACTATGTGTTCATGTGTTCATGTGTTCACTATGTGTTCATGTGTTCACTATGTGTTTATGTGTTCATGTGTTCACTATGTGTTTATGTGTTCATGTGTTCATGTGTTCATGTGTTCACTATGTG